TCATCCTACTCCTACACTTCTCGTAAAGTGCCTGTCAACGGATTTAGTGTTCAGAGTCTGGAAACGCTGTGCCTGTCAAGGGATTTGGTGTTCAATGTCTCGAAACGCTGTGCCTGTCACCGGATTTGGTGTTCAGAATCTGGAAACGTTGTGCCTGTCAACAGATTTGGCATCCAGAATCTGGAAACGTTGTGCCTGTCAGCGAATGTAGTGTTCAAATTTAAAAACGCTGCGTTTCTTAGTGAATTTGGTGTTGGGATGCTGGAAACGCTGTGCCTGTCAGCGGATTTGGTGTTCAATGTCTCGCAACGTTGTGCCTGTCAGCGGATGTAATGTTCAGAATCTGGAAACGTTGTGCCTGTCAAGGGATTTGGTGTTCAATGTCTCGAAACGCTGTGCCTGTCAGCGGATTTAATGTTCAGAAGGTGGAAACGTTTTGCCGTCAGCAGATTTGGCATTCAGAATCTGGAAACGTTGTGCCTGTCAGCGAATGTGGTGTTCAAATTTGGAAACGCTGCGTTTCTTAACGAATTTGGTGTTGCGAGGCTGGAAACGCTGTACCTGTCAACGGATTTGGTGTTCAATGTCTGGAAACATTGTGCCTGTTGTCTGAGTTCGTGCAGGTGATTATTTAATTTGGCGAAAAAAATGCGACAATTGATGTTGACGAGGTGGCTTTAATTGGCTTAATGTCCTTTGCTTGGATGAAGTGCCAAACTTCTGAGCCGGTGCTTGCCGGCAGAGATAGACCGAAGAACCTTGAACCACCAAAAAGTAGGCACCTGAACCCAAGAACAGATCTAGGAAATTATGCCCCCAAAACTTCGGACCTTGAAACCCAAATACGGCCCATACGAGAACGAAATTGGAACCCCAAAGCATTTGAACCTTGAGGTCCAAGAACCTATGGACCTGAAACCTCTCCAATCGTAAGCTTGAAACCCGAATCCCTTTGTTCATTGAACCACGCCCGAATCCTTCAACCAAACCCGCTTCCATCAAATTCAATCCCTAACAAAAAACCGCATTGCACCTAATGGGTTTCAAAAAACAGGTATATCAAATAGACCTGCGCTCTCATCTCCCTTTTGTGCGTGTCAATGGTTTCCAAAGGCAGGTGTGTTGCATTGGCCTGGGTTTTTATCTCTTTGATTTGTCATTTGAAGGGCGTCAGAAGGTAAGTGTGTTGAAGTCACCTGGGTTCTGATCCCCATGTTTGTGTGCCGAACCGGTTTCGGAAAGCAGGGGTATATTGAATATACCCGAGTTCTCTTTTTTTTTTTGGCGCCGAATCCGGGAGGCAAGGTTTTTTTCCCTTCCGAGACGGTTTTTCCCTGTGCTCGGGCCGGCTGTGCAGCATGCCGGTTCCATCTGGTAATGGCCAGATGCCGTCGATGAAAAGTTCCGAAAAGGCATCAGAAAATTCAGAAGGCATGTATTTGTTGAACATTTTTGGTTTGCAATCTCCGCTTTTGTGCGCTAGCGTATTCACAGTGTGCGCTTCCATGTTGGGACCGCTATGCGTTTTTCATTTTGGGAGCATGTTGAATCTATTTTGGGCGATCTGGAAACAATTCGTTTTTTTTGGTCTAAAAACACGTCGCTAAAAATTGTCCAGTTTTTAACGCGAAAAAATTAGGTTTGAAAAGGTCTATGTTGGGCCATGTTGGGTTCATGCTTGGCCTTTATTGAGTCAATTGGCTTTACTTTGGGTCATATTGTAGCATTCATACAGGGCCTCGAATGATTGGAGCGTCTGCAACGGTATGATATCACCTTGGGTTGACGAACGGCCACTTGCACAGCAGCATGCACGCAACGATGGTCGAACCCAAACGCAATCATAAAGACGTTCCACGTTTTGCGCAAACTGGAACTGCAAATCAACCAATGGGAAATCCAATTGAACTCGGATTCCACCCAGCGAACGTTCGCATGGCAACGTGTTTGCAATGTAGCCAACTGGGGCCAACCGATTGAAGAATTATATGATACATTATGCTTCAAAACTGAATGCACCAAAGTGATTCCACGGCTGTTCCTCCGCCGGTCACCGCAGAAACCAATGACATCGATATCGTTAGCATCACACGACACCTTCCAATACAAACATTGAAATCACCCCCTAACAAAGGTATGGCCCCATCACGAACACAATATAACTTTCCAACAGAACGTTCAGCAATTCATATGCTCCCCCCCCACTGCTTCATTAGTGTTCCAAGCGGTCGGAAAATAACAGGAAATTGCACGAATGTTGATATTGGCCAGGGTGAAGTGTAAGGAACACACACGAGAAAAATAGGGATGAAACGAAATAGCACACACTTCACGATATAATTTTGACGACAGAACCACCCGACAGGGGGGCAGCAATCACCACCTACCAAGGACAAGATGATGTCAGCACTTCATGTGCCTCATCCCGCCATGTTTTGCTCAAAAACAAAACGTGAATTGAACACGCATCAATTTCCGCAGGGAAATCATTCAACCTGCCCTCACTCCGAATATTTTCTAAAATTTTTGATGTCAGATGCAAGAAAACAAATTGTTCGGTCATAAACTTGCCCCATACCCAACAACTTTCAGGTCGGGCACAATGCAAGGTAGGTCAGCATTGCACATTGACATCCCTAAAGGCCCACGCGGACTTGAAGACGCAAACTACATGCTACCACCATGTTGGTGGTCCTTATCCTAAAGAAGATGCAAACCCCGCACTGGCTGCCAGAACATGTTCGCTTGCAAGGCCATCATTTGGATCAGCAAACTCAACTTCGGTTCCCTTAGAAACAGACGCCACATGCAAAAGATGGCCGCCAACCCGAACTTGCATCTTCTAGGTTCGGTAGTGCACGAACACATCCTTCAGTGCGATTTGTTTTTCAATCAAAATGTCTTAGATTTTCGAAACGAATTTGGCATTTTGCATTTGCGACGCTCTTCCGCCGAACGATTTTCAGAAACCCATGGCTTAGCCTCTTGTTATTTTTTGGGATTGCGTTTTTGGGTTCGGAGAAATATACTCAAACACGAAGGGGAGACAAACTGAGCAAACGCGACCGTTGGATTGGGTCGTGTCGTGGAGATTCCGGAATTGACCAAAGACTCAGCCGTTTCTGCTTCTACATCCGCCAACCCGCCGATCACTGCCACATGCTCTGTATGATCAACATCATGTGCTGCATTGTGCTTGGCCTTCTCGAGACTCGACACCCGTTCCTCTAGAACCTTCCTTGCCTCCCACCCGTGTTCCAATTCAACCTTCACCTGCTGCACTGCGTGGTTAACCTTTTGGGACACATCCGATCTCCTTCTTCATTCATCATGCCGCGCAACGGGGCAATGGTGGTTGCGCTCATGTCAACTTTGGACACTTCCCGCTGGAGGTCTCGTGTCAGGTCACAAGGAGAGGGCGCGTTGATAGCTAGAATTTTTTCCCTGGAATCTACTTTTCTACCTGGGGTACCTGAGGTGTTGCACGCTTTGAACTCACATTTCCTTCCATGAGGGTGTCTTGCTTATTTTCCAACTTGAGGAAACCTTTTTCAAAATCAGTGGAATTATCCTGCCATTTCGCACCATTCTTGTGTGCCTCCCTGGTGGTTTTCGTTCCTTTCTATTTTTGGTACCGGTCAAAGGCCTTACTTCCAGGTTGTTTTGGATTTTCCGTTTGGAAGAACACCTTGGTGTTTTGATTTTCAAAACTTCCATTTGCGCAAGGGGCAAAGCCAAAAACGAAATTGGAAATTTGGTTCAGGATGTTCCGTCTTTTGTTGCTTCTCCGCACGAGCCGCTTGCAACAACTCAGGCTTTCACACCTTTCGTTCCGGAAATGCCACTGGAACCATTCTCTGCCAAGGCTGGCCTTCATGATTGTCTGGCCTTCACGAAGCTGGGCAAATTTACGCAGCAGACGGCAATAGAAAAAAAAATGTGAGGTGGCAACGCCAGATGCCGATGTCAGACAACGGGACATTGACCAAACCAGCGTCTGAAAGCCTTGGTATGTGCTAGGGGTGGCCAACCGTTTTTTTTCTTTTTGGGTGCTTGCAAGTTTGGGTGTGCCATACCTTGCCATCCATGGAACATGCAGGCACGTGCATGCTGCTTGTTTTGTGCATGATTTACATGGCTGTCGCAGGGGGCGGTCTTTAGTGTATATGGTTGGATGTAGTTTCAGAAATACAAACTTGGTTTTATAGGGAATTTCTTCGCAGAACGCATCTTAGTTGAATTTTGTACCGGGTGACGCTACAGATCAGTAGTTTTTTTTTTCGTAAGGAAACTTGAATCTGAATAAAAAGTTCTTCGGCAAACACATGTTGATTTTTTTTCGCCCAACAAATTTCACTTGATTTTTGTAATACTGGAAGGGTCCGCGCACACCTGGACCTGGAATCTGAAAGCGGCACTTGGCTCAAAACCGTGCAAAGTTAACCCACATGTGATCAAAAAGTTCTTAGATGGACTCCAATTTCTTCACTAAAGAAACTGTCCGATCTTTAGTGTGACCCGGTACAAAATTTTTGATCAGGATGAGACTGGTGAGACTGTGGGGACTGGGGAGAGTTTAGAATCTCCAAACCATCGCTGCATGTCATACCCCAAAAGATCAGATCCAATATGTGGGATCCTAGACCCACATGATTCAGCCAAGATGCGACAGTTTCCCCTGCAAAGTTCATGATGAGGTCAGGGACATAGGTGATTCCCGGCACGTGGAAACTCGGCAAAACATCGCAAAACATGTAAATCAGTGATATCAGCATTGATGAACCTGACGGCATAGAGCAACATCGTTGGCACTTCTCTCTGGCCCCCAACAACACCGCAATCAGAACGCGGAGGGGCACGGACGTGTAAAATTGTATAGACTTCATTGAAATTGTCACCCTCCTCGACCCACAACAAGGCCGACATGTTTGTGGATAAATGGGTAATCTTGAATGGACACCGTGACGGGATGGTGGTCGCCGCCAAAATGCACAAACATTTTTCTACATGGCGAATCCTTTGGATGTCGGCCCTTGCTTGAGCTGGAATTTCAGGCGCTGGCCGCAGTGGGGACGCGTTTATCGGGACGTTTATGTGTCCATCCGTTGTGCCGAAAAAAATCGGTGACAAAAATCGTGATGTTAACCAATCATCCATGAGGATCATATCATCAACAATATGCGATGCATGAACAATGGATGTTAATCAATTATACCGAATTGTACCAACAATGCGTGGGATGCGAAGGGCTAGCCCTGCAGGTTTTCTTTATGTTTTCTTTATGATTTCTGTATGGTTTCACTTTGATTTTTCTATGATTTTATTATGAATATTGATGTCTCCATTGTCAGATGATTTTGGCAGGCCTTCTTCCGTCGTGCCAGCGCCACGGGCACGCCATGCATTGCGCATGTTTCAGCCATTTCCAGCAGCGTTGCTGGTGGCTGCAACGACCACACGGAGACGATGCTTGCCTTGTTTTGAATGTGGTTTGTAATGTGGCAAACACCTCTGCCTTAACAATCCCCAACAATACTGTGTATGACTGGGTATGCATTTTTTTTGGGGATGATGTAAAAATGACATAAAATGACCCCAAAATAGGTAGTTATTGGGATGGTCGATCATTGGTTGTAAAATTTTTAGCCAGACGGTGAACAGCAACTTGTGGCAACAGGTTGGGCAATGTTGGACACGCATCTTCCTGGCTCAGTATGCTGGGAGTTTTGGAAGTCCATCCAATCGAGAGGTGAAGGCAATGACAAGTAAAATGACAAGTGCAGAAGCATTTGAAAGTCTTGCGGTTGTTGTGGCAGAGGATTTGCTCATGCTCCCCGCGCCGCGTTTTCGAAATGGTCTTCGTGACTTGGATGAAGAGTTCAGGAAAACCACATGGATCGTACATTCCTTACATGGTCAAAACGAGTTGGTTAAACTGGCTGGACTTTGCTTTCCTGTTTCATCATAACCCATGGGCTGGTCATCTCATTCCCTGTTCCCTCACGGCAATTTGGGTGAGGCATGAGAGCACGTTAATCCTCGGCCCTGGCAGAAGCAAGGCCCCGCTTGCGATGGATTTCGGCCCCCCAAAGATTGACGTTTGGCGATCTTCTCGGATTCCTGGGCCCCAACCCTTGAAGGTTGATGATTCTGGTTCCAGAAACTCATAGTTTTGGCCGCAAACTATTTTTCTGAACATTGCTTGAGAATGCCTTGGGAGGATTTTTGGAAACTCCTTCGCGCTGGTGTTGATGTGTTCAGCACCAAATCTCTGGGTATAGAGACGAAACAGAGGCCGGCGGCACATATTTTGTCTGTCACAGGAGGTGTTCAAGATGGAATGGCTGAATAAACAACTTACGAATTTCTGTTCTGGGATATGTGATATAGGTGATGTATGTGGTGTATGTGAGATGGGGGTGCATGATACCTCACAATGGGGAACATGGCAAAATTTACCGATGGGACTTCCAAGCTCCATACTAGATGAATCCTGCTTTGCATCAAATTTGATGCTGTGCCACTACTGCTTAGGCACTAGCCTAGGCGTAAGCATCTTATAAGCGTTGATATAAACCAAAGCCTTACATGGATTATATTTGATGCTGATGATGGTTGAATAATGTTGAAAATACTTGAATCATAATCAGTACCAGGATTGATGCTGATGCCTTACTCATCGTTCCCAGGCTACGGGCCTTTCCCAGTGATGCCTTCCATGCGGCCCTGCGGCCCGAGGTGGCCTTGAGTTGCCCGGTGGATATGCGTTGGTTACAACCCCAGTGAGCAACTTATGGATGATTTTGAGGTGAGGTGTGAAAAAAGGCCCAGCGAAACGCCCATGCAAGGATGACACACACACACACAAACGGAGAAGTGTCAACATGTGCAGACTTGGATGCATAACATGCGCATCTGCCTTCTTTACCATTGGCTCAGATAGCAGAGCCAAAACTTTGACATGGCCGCGGAGCCCGTAAGGGCCAGAAGATGGATCACCCTGGCGTTGGTGGTGGCGCTCACGGTGCAACAGCCTAGTGATGGAGACTGGCTAGACCACCATCAATTCGAAATGGTGGCGGTGGCCAATGGACAGGTGGAGAAGGCGCCCCATCATAGACCAGATGAGCCCAATGGCGCACTATTGGTTAGAACTATGGATGGTCTATATCCTGGACGAGACCTACGACCAGTTTGGCTGCGCTGATGATGACGAAGCCTTTGCTGAGGCTTTGGTGGCCTACACGGACTTCAAGGAGGACATCTGTGATGCCAAAGGATGCTCTTGGACAGCAAAAATGCTGTGAATCAAGGTGGGTTGGTGCCCCTATGACATGGACAAGTATATCAAGAAGGATTTGGAACCCTCAGGAATTGCTGAGGATTGGAGCCTTAGCGCTGGAGAGCCCTTGGCAATCATTGCATGAGTCTTTGAGGAGAACTATTGGCAGCCTTTTAGCATGTACTTGGACTTTTACCTGCACAATACGGTCTCTGTATATGACATGCTGGCTTGGATGGCCTACTGTGATGGGATCTCTCTTCATGGTCTTCCTCTTCATCCTTCTGAAGGAGTTCCACGTGATGATTGAGAGCAGAAAGAGAAGATCAAAGATCAAAAGATGGAGCCACTTGGGCCTACATGGATGTCCCCACAGGAAATCGACGCGCTGGAATGGCACTTTGGAAGGCACTGGAATGGCTACCTCAAGCTGAAGGGCTTCATCTTCCTCACGATGTATGCCCAGACTGCTGCAATGGATGCCCAACAGGCAACAGACCTCTTGGGACGTACCATGGATCTATCCTCTGCTGCCACAACTGCAGCCCAACACTATGCTGCAGAGCTTTGGTGGTGGTGGAGGCAAAGGTGGTTCTTGGTTTGGAGATGGAGCCAAAGTGTTGAGGCAACCTTGATGACCCTGTGAAGCAGACACTGCGGTGTTAGCAATGGGTTTGCTGTTTGGCATAGGCTGAAGCGGCTGTATGCCCCTTGGGCACGACCACGGGCCCTAGCAATTGGCCAGGCAATCATGCAGCATCCCAGCTTCTCGCAACAGAGGTCGATGCTGGAGAACCTGCTGCAGTTTGATTCACTACTGGATCAGTATGAGCTAGCTGCACTGTATGGTCAAGGAGAAGCCTTACAAGCAGGCCTCATCCCGCAGAGCCAACCTGAAGCACTTGAACTTTTGTGCTCCAACTACACCCAGGCCAGTTGTGGAGAAACACCCCACGGTTCCAGAGGACGAACTGGAGTATGATGTGGATGCTCGAGATGTTCGGGAATATGCACGCACTCGCCCGCCAAGCCCAGTCTGACTTGGATTTGGCTGACTTTGGAGTTGGAAAACGAGAAGCAGCGCCAGAAATTTTCCACCCAGCAAAGCTGCTCGACATAGAGATCAAGAAGAAGGACAAGGTGCTGAAGCTTTGGTGGATGACATTGCAAGTGCTGAGCACAAAAGGTTCCAAGGACAAGTCCTCAAGGCAGCCCATGATCAGCCAGTGGGAGCAATCTGTATCCTCCCCTTTTTGCTGGCACTATCCAGAAAGTTTTGGATGTTGGAGAAATCGATGATGAAGTTTGGGAAGATGATGTGGCTTACTACATCGAACCAGGTGACATGGTGATCAACCTAGGAGAAGATGGTGGTACTCCAGCTGATGAAGGAAAACCTCCACAGGTGACTGCGGCTGAACTGGCTTCTTTGGATGAAGCAGAAGCAGCTGGCTATGATGAGATCACTCGACTCTTTGAGATGAATGTCCTCCAAGAGCCAACAGCTGAAGACTTGGAGGAAGGAGCGGTTCTTTCTGCGCGCAGTGTGATGGATTGGAGGTTCAGAGAACAGCGCTGGAGGAGAAGGTGCAGGTTCGTGGCAAGAGAGTTCAATGGTTCTGACAAAGGATCTGCATCGACCTTTGCCCTTGTGTTTGGCATTGGAGCAAGATTGGTGCTCCTGATGCGCTGTTGCTTCCGTCGGTGCCTCAGCTTCATTGACATCAAGGATGCCTTCTTGTTGGTCTCTCAGAGGGAGCGGATCTTGGTGGAGAAGCCATCTTGGTGGAGTGATGATGGCCATTCCAAATATTGGTCTTGGAATCGGTGCCTACCCGGCCAGAGAAATGCAGCAGCTCGGTTCTTCGATTTCCTTTGTGATCATCTCCAAGAATTCGACTTTGAGAATAGCCCCTGCTGCCGATCTGGTGCTTTGTGGAGAATTCGAGGTGAACTGATGTGGCTCATTGAAGAGCTGAGGAAGGTGGTGATGTTCTACCCCCTCCAGATCACGATGAGCAAGAGCCCATTCGCTTCCTCAAGAAGAGACATTTCTTCACCAAGGCGCGGATTGTGATCAGCCCCCGTGAGAAGTATGCTGAAGAGGTTGTGAAACTCTATGGCTTGGTAAACAGGAAGCCGAAGACAACACCAGACATCAGTGGCGAGGTCTATGACTCCAAAGAGCTGGACGAGGAAGTACAAGCTCAGATCAGCAATGGGTACGCTCTTGTACCTGAGCCAAGTTCGGGTGGATTTTCAACATGCTGAATTCATGGCCAAGCCACCGGTGTCAGCTGAAATGGGTGTCAAGCACCTGATTCTGTACCTCATCCTGGTGTCCTACTTCCTTACCGAGTTCCTGGTTACAGCAAGCTGGATGAAGCTCGAGGTGGCTCAAGTTCCATGGGGCACGAGAAGGAGCTGGTGGAAGCATTCACGGATGCTGATTGGGTTGGAGACAAATCAGCCCCAGCAAGGCAACGACACTCAGTGTCATCAGCCCTGATCTTTGTGGACAACAGGTTGGTGACTTCATGGTCCTGAGTCCCTCTACGTGGCTCGCCTTCGGAACTTCCTGACCAGGAAGGAGGTGGTGGCTAGGATCGTTTCAAATTCTTCAAGCTGCCGAGCTTTTTGCACAACGGCAAGGCGTGGGCAGGATGAAGCACATCGATGCCAAGTACCTTTGGCTTCAAAGCAAGGTGAAATCTGGAGATTTGGAGATGGATGGAGTGGCCACAGTCCTCAATGTGGCTGACATCAGCACCAAGAAGCCCACCAAGGCCAGCCGATCCTTCCTCATGTACCTGATTGGCGTGGTGGAGTATGACAAAGCGAGCAAGGGATATGTCCCTGCAGGTGAGGGTGAGTTCAACATTTGAATCTACATGCAGAAGAAGTGCATGGGCCAAAGCATGAAAACAGTTCGACAAGTTGTTCTGAGCACTTTGGCCAATGGCATGCACGAGTTCCCGAACCAGATCTCGAAACCTTTGGTCAAAGCCATGACCTTGCTAGCTCTGCAACCTGTGGCAAGTGGAGCTCGTGTGGATGAGCTGAACTACAGCATCCTGGTCAAGAACTTTGGGTACATCGAGCTCTTCCTGGAGATTCCGTCGCAGTACTTCATGCTTGGGTATGCCCTCCTGTTCTTCCTGGTGGGAATGGTGGCTGGCTACTTTGTCAAGAATGCCATCTACAAGATCCAATTGAAGCAAGTGGTGGAGTGGGCGAGCGAGCAAATCGGTTTCCACAAGAGGGAGATTGAATTCGTGGATGATTGGGATCCTGAGGGGCACGAATTGAGACAATTCAGGGTGCTTTGCTCCGTGGATGACGCCGAGTCCGGCGAAGAATACGTCCGCGAGGTTGATGGTGGCATGGCACGCTTCGTGAAGCTGGACAGGCGTCGACGACTTCGGCACGGATTCGCAGACGGAGAGGAAGCGGAAGAAGAATCAATGGAGGTGGACGAAGGAGCTCTAGCACCAGTGGCGGCTGTCTCAGCAGCGATGGCGCATGGACAAGATGGAGACGGACCCGGGACTACACCAATGATGAGGCCTACGCCCGGGACAAGTCCTATGCCTGGTGGTGGCGCTGGAAACATTGCAGCTGGTGGCTCGGTGAAGGTTGGTCCAAGAGATGCCGGGTCAGAGTCAGCAACTCGCGAATACCTGGAGTCGCTTCTTGGCTCACCACGAGCCACCCATGCTGCCTTTGCAAGACGCGGACTGGAACGACATGGACGAGATTCTGAAGCACCTGCCGGTGACTGAGGGGCAAAGAGCCCTGCAAATGCAGGAAGTAGCTTTGTTCGATGCAGTGGCCTCCAAGGAATACTTGAAGATCCATCTGTCCAGTCTTTACCCAGGACAGCCCGGCGTGTGCTGGGACTATCCAGCGTGGTGGACACGTAGTGAACGTCCGGGGCATGTATCTTCAAAACTAAGGAACTTTTGTTGAGCAATGGTTCATCCACCAGAACCCAGCTGGCTGTAGGAGCGGTGTTGGAATGCCCTGGACTGAGGATTAAGAAATTCAAAATCATGCCTCAAAACTTTTTCACCATGATTTTGAGGTGAGGTGTTAAACATTTCCAGTGAAACGCCCATGCAAGGATGACACACAAACAGAGAAGTGTCAACATGTGCAGACTTGGATGCATAACATGTGCATCTGCCTTCTTTACCATTGGCTCAGATAGCAAAGTCAAACCAACGCACTGCCGCTGCTCCGCACTTTGACAAATGGTGTAGCCACAAACTGTATACAGGCATGCGTATGTACAATACGGCCCCGGCAAGCTTCAGTCTACAGTGAAGGATGAGAGTTTTTACTTGGTCTTGTTTATGAATTCCTTCCCTGAAATGACAGCGGTATTCAACACCACCGCTTTTGGAGACTCCAAGATGAACGGACCCACAAGATTCCAGTGTGCTGTCGGGGCAGGCTGTGGTGTCGGTGACCGGAACTGCTGCAGGGAGTGCAGTGATGGCGGTGACTGGCACTGGGCGTGCCATGGAGGCTGACTTTCCCATACTGAGAATTCCCAAAAAATAGTACAGATGTGGTTGTTGTCGTTGGAAGATGTTGGAAGATGTTGGACGATGAATTGAATTTTCATCATTTTTCATTCTTACCAGTCTTGGGTTCCAAGTTTGTGAGATCGGCGGGTTGTGGTTGCATAGCAGCTGGCACCTGGGATCAGGTAGCTGTACGCGAAGAATTGGGGCCTGAGCGTGGGACAACCAAGTTTCTCCTCCAACTTCAGGACAGCTGCAGGTAGTACACTGTTATTGTCATCATTGATGCTTTGATTTGTCTTGATTGGCATAAGTGGCACAACTGGGTTTTTTCTACAGATTGTTGGTTTTTTGTTGGTGCCTGGGGGCATCTCCGCAAGGATGGTCTTTCAGTGGAAGCGGTCCTTGTGCCGCAAGTTCCTTGGCACCATCCTTCGTTTGACTGGGGCTGAAAAACGCGAGCGGGGTTTTAGGCATTGCAGGAACAAACCTGTGGACCAGTCACGCCTTTCAAACTCATCCCCACAATTGATCCATTCGGCGTCCATTCCGACATCATTGCAGTTGTCCAGGTAGAAGCAGAGAGGGAGCGCCGGGAGCGACGGGATGGAAGGAAAGCGAGTTCCACTACAATTTGTGTCAGCTCCCAGGCCATTTTGTTCAACGAAGGGATGAAAGGGTAGTGATAGGTCAAATTCCACAGATCAAGAACGTTCAAGACAAAGGATGAACCCATTGGGATAGGAATGGATCGAAATTGAATGGTGGAAGGTGGAGGGTCAGAATGACCAGCACGCCTAGTATTCAGGAGTTGACAACCTTAAACCACTTCGGATTGCAGTTCGAAGTCGTTCAAGGGCAACTTGTCGCCCAATTCGTTGCACGAACAATTTCTGAGATGTCAATGAATTGGGTTGAAACCCAGTTGAATTGAACTCAACTAAAGTGCTCCCACCTAAACCTAAACTTTCATCATTTTTTAACAACATCTTTCCATAGTTGACCCATCAGCTTGTGACACCAGGTGGGTTGTTCACAGGGCTGCCGTTTTTGCAAGACCGCCACCATGGGCATCCTGCGGAATCTACATCCGGACGAGATCTTGGCACAGGCGCTTCTATGACCCATGGTGACATGCAACCCCATCAGTGAGGTGACCATACCCTGCAATGCAGGTGGTGCAAGGCATTCGCTTGGCTGAAGAGATGGGTTTGCCCAGGCTGGTGCACTTCATGCTGGCCCTTCAAACTCAAGCTTGTTAGGCATTTTTCTGTGCTGGTGAGTAGTGGTGTTTCAGTGGTGGTGGATGGTATTGTAAGAAGATAAAATCTTAAGCAAATATGAAACATGAAACGCATGCCTGGTCACATGTTGACACCAGGCCAAGCAACGTGGTGCTGATGGGCATGGGTGAGCCCTTGGCAAACTTCCCAGCTGTTATGCCAGTGGTGGAGGCTTTGACGGATCCCATGCGTTTCGTTTCTTGGCTGGATGTCACCACTATGTTTGGTCAGTTCACTCGAGTTCTAAATTGATTTTGTTTCACGTCATCATTGATGATATTGATTATTGATGATATATTGATGAGATATTGATGGTTTGAAAGCAATTTTCCGCGCTTTCCCACATCTTCCGCCTTTTGTCGCTGCACCCAAGTAGTTCTGGCGTTTCGCAGTCGGCCTTTTTCACCCGGTGCCTCAGGCCATGAGCAGCAAGAAGGCGCAAATCTTGACAGCCATGAACCATGAACCATGATGAACCATGATGAACCATGAACCTGATCGAACAGCGAACCAATTTCTGATCTTTTCAGCTGATAGGTTGTGCTGTGTGCCATGTGTGCCATGTGTTGCGGTTGTGCACCATTTGCTGTGCAGCACCAGGTAGTTCTATCCACCGTGGCACCTTCACCGGCGCAGGTGCGGATGCTGCATCGGCTGCAGCGTTCCTCGACGAAATCCGATCTGTGGCAGAGGTGGTTTTCAGAAATTCGCCGTGTTTCAATAAGGTTATGCCGCTTATGACCGCTATGAGTCTACGAGGTTCCGACTGATATCTACTGATCACAATCCCAACAAATGTCATTAAGTTCAGAAATTTGGACACTTCAGAATTTTCCCATCAGCCGACTCCATTGAGCATGTCGCCTGAGATCATGAACTGAGGCTGCCAGCTCGCGTGGTCCTTGCATTGCGTGGATGATGTGTTGCCGGGATCCGATGGAGGTGTATTCGAGGAACTGACCATTGGCCCTCAAGGTTTTGCTGGCCAAATTATGACAAATACACATTTGCCCGACAAATCATCACTAGTGTATAGAACTGTGGCAAGAATTTTCAACCAAAGAAGTATACTAAGTATGTCATCAGTATGTCGTTCCATATTTTCCATGCTTTCCCATTTTTTCAGACCATGTCATCTGTATGTCATCTGTATGTCATCTGTATGTCATCTGTATGTCATCTGTATGTCATTTGTATGTCATCCGCTTGTCATCTTTTCCCAGGCTTCGGCGGCAGTTGGTGCCCTCCGCCCGCTTTTCGGTCGTCGAGCTGCGCGAGGCCTTTGGCGAGGTGCTGGCGGCGCGCGAGAAGCGCGGCCGGCGGCTGATGGCACCGGGGACTGAACGCTGGGACCGGGGAGGCCCTGGCTGGAAAAATGCTGGAAATTCTGGAGGAAAATGGAGGTCCTTACGTTACTTTTTTGTTGTGGGGGTTGGTTTCAAAGAAAACTTGATAATTGGTAACCCAGCTTTGCAACCTGACTGTTGATGGACATTTCGGCGATGTTGCCATGTTGAAAACTTAAAGTGGGAGTAACACAGTGTTTCCACCGCTAAATTTGGGTACATAGTAGTTGGTAGCTGGCATTTGTTTCCGATTTTTTGTATCGATCTTAACCTTTCCTTAAGGATTTGGTTGGGAGATGGAGGGAGAGAGATGATTTGCTGAGATCGTTTGGAGATGAACTGTAGGCCGTGAGAATGGGTTTTGCAAAGCAAGCAGCAAAGGCAAGACAAATCCCCATGGGAAATCCCTTGACGACGAACATGGTTTCACCCCCAAAACCTAAGTTTTTTAACCATTCTTCATCATTTTCAACCAACAAGGCACCTGTCGCGGTTTGAGGTGGCAGTGGTGCTGCTACGAGGCATCAACGACCGCGTGACGGATGCCGAGGCGCTGGCGAGTTTCCTGGAACCCTTGACGCAGCTCGGGGTGACTTGGCTTCAGAGCGAGTTGTCAGATAGAAATAGATAGAAGATATTACAAAATGATTAATTTATATTAATTTATAATGATTAATAATGCAAAATGATCCAAAACCAAGCAATATCAAGCAATGTCTCTAATAATTGACCCAGGATTTCGACATTGCTCGGATATTTTTCACAGGGGCTGTGATTGAAGTAGTGGATCATGGAGCGCGTTCCAACATCAGATTCTGTTGGCTGTCGAGGTGAAACTGATCCTTGATTTGATCCCTTACAATGACACGGGCATTGAAGGCATGTGCCCTGCTGCTGATATCACCTAGAAAGGACATGAAAGGAGGTTATAGAGACCAATTTTGGGACCCACCAATTCACCTAGAGGCAAGAAATGTCAAGGTACTCGATGAAGAGAGAGAGAGAGATCAACCTTGTACGAAAGAGAGGAATTTTGGCATGCCAAATGCCAACGTTTTTGTTCCTGGACTTTGGGTGTAGCATGGTGTAGCCGTGCCAAGTCATCAACGGTGCGCAGTCCACAAACTTGCTGATTGAAGTTGGCACCTCCGATTTCTTGATTTGTTGTTTCAAATATCGTTCGATCTTCTAAGTTTCATTAAGTCTCCTGGTTCCCGTCGTTAGCGGTTTCAAGTGCCCTTGGGGCATCCAGTTGGCCCGCCAGGATTCCATCGACCATCGCCGGAGGCTGTGATGGCATTCAAGGAAGCGGTGTGGTCCAAGTTGCTGGGGCCCCGTGGGGGATTCCAGACGTCAATTGGTGAGAAATGATGATTTGATGGGAAGTTGAAGTGTTGGAAATGTTTGAATCCCAGGAAACATCAATGTATATATGATATATACTATATATGTATATATATATATATATGTTTGGATGAGATCAAATCTCTCGCTCTACACACACACACAAATATAGCCGTTTGTGTAATGGTAAAATCATTGCCGCAGCTCTATGACTCCATCTGTCTACGGTACCTGAGGCCTGCACTCTGCGTTTATGTTCGTCATCCGCGCGGGGAGGCTGCCCTGGAAAACGATCGGGAAATACTGGTGAGATAAACTTCCGTTTTTCTTGGTGAAGAGTTTCTGGTTGTGCCCGGCATTCCATGGCCACAGGTGCTGCAACCAATGTGCATGCTGGTGATTTCCAATAAAGGTCAAAACGAAGCTTGCAAATTGTATAATTCCACACCCTTACCCAATTACTATATTTTACTATGTCTTATTTTTTTCCCAAAATTGCTTTTGGGATGGCGTTTTACTGCATAATTCCCGGGCTCAGTCAGGGTTCAGTTGCAACCCAGAAGGCTCACCCCATGCCTCAGGATGCTGCGGCAGCTTGTGGACAACTGGCCACCCAGAAACGCCCGAGCAGAGCAACCACTCCGGTACAGAAAAGGGGCATAGCCACCGCAGCACGCAGGTGTGCTGTGGCGGTTGCCAACCGACAGCTTGACGATGCGACATCATGGCACTTATGGGGGTTCATTCAGGTAGGGTGGGGCTGTGGGTTGCCAACCTACAGCTATCAATGCGACATCATGGCACTTATGGGGGTTCATTCAGGTAGGGTGGGGCTGTAGGTCGCCAACCTACAGCTTAATAATGCGACATCATGGCACTTATGGGGGTTCATTCAGGTAGGGTGGGGCTGTGGGTTGCCAACCTACAGCTATCAATGCGACATCATGGCACTTATGGGGGTTCATTCAGGTAGGGTGGGGCTGTAGGTCGCCAACCTACAGCTTAATAATGCGACATCATGGCACTTATGGGGGTTCATTCAGGTAGGGTGGGGCTGTGGGTTGCCAACCTACAGCTATCAATGCGACATCATGGCACTTATGGGGGTTCATTCAGGTAGGGTGGGGCTGTAGGTCGCCAACCTACAGCTTAATAATGCGACATCATGGCACTTATGGGGGTTCATTCAGGTTATGGGGGTTCATTCAGGTAGGGTGGGGCTGTGGGTTGCCAACCTACAGCTATCAATGCGACATCATGGCACTTATGGGGGTTCATTCAGGTAGGGTGGGGCTGTAGGTCGCCAACCTACAGCTTAATAATGCGACATCATGGCACTTATGGGGGTTCATTCAGCAGGGTGGGGTTGTAGGTTGTCCAAACCACAGCTTAACAATGCGATGTCATGTGGCACTTATGGGGGTCTCATTCATGGCAGGGGGGGACTCAATGCGACCTTCATGGCCCACTTATGGGGGTCATTCAGGCGCAGTGGTGGCCGGCTGTAGGTCGCCAACCTACAGCTTGACAATGCGAACATCATGGCATTGATGGGGGTACTTAAGGGCAGGGTGGGTGCTGTAGGGTCGCCAACCCTACAGCTCTGCGTAATGCGACTCATGGCAATTATGGTGGGTTCATTCAGGCAGGGTGGGGCTGTAGGTCGCCAACTACAGCTTTGATAATGCCGACATAATGGCACTCATGGGGGTTCACTTCAGGGCAGGGTGGGGACTGTAGGTCGTCCAACCTAAGCCTTGGACCAATGCGAAATACACTGGAACTTATGGGGGTTCATTCAGGCAGGGTGGGGCTGTAGGTCGCCAACTACAGCTGAAAATTCGACCATCATGGCAATTATGGGGGTTCATTTCAGGGCAGGGTGGGCTGTAGGTCGCAACCTACAGCTTGATAATGCGACATCATGGCCCTCCCCCCCCACTTAGGGGTTTTCATTCAGGCAGGGGTGGGGCTGTTACGGTCTCCAACCTAACAGGTTGTTCCTCGACAATGCGACATCATGCATTAGGGGTTCATTCAGGTAGGGTGGGGCTGCAGGTTGCCAACCTACAGCTTAATAATGCGACATCATGGCACTTATGGGGGTTCATTCAGGTAGGGTGGGGCTGCAGGTTGCCAACCTACAGCTTAACAATGCGACATCATGGCACTTATGGGGGTTCATTCAGGCAGGGTGGGGTTGTAGGTTGCCAACCCACAGCTTAACAATGCGATGTCATGGCACTTATGGGGGTTCATTCAGGCAGGGTGGGGCTCAATGCGACATCATGGCACTTATGGGGGTTCATTCAGGCAGGGTGGGGCTGTAGGTCGCCAACCTACAGCTTGACAATGCGACATCATGGCACTTATGGGGGTTCATTCAGGCAGGGTGGGGCTGTAGGTCGCCAACCTACAGCTTGACAATGCGACATCATGGCACTTATGGGGGTTCATTCAGGCAGGGTGGGGCTGTAGGTCGCCAACCTACAGCTTGATAATGCGACATCATGGCACTTATGGGAGTTCATTCAGGCAGGGTGGGGCTGTAGGTCGCCAACCTACAGCTTGATAATGCGACATCATGGCACTTATGGGGGTTCATTCAGGCAGGGTGGGGCTGTAGGTCGCCAACCTACAGCTTGATAATGCGACATCATGGCACTTATGGGGGTTCATTCAGGCAGGGTGGGGCTGTAGGTTGCCAACCTGCAGTCGGCTTAAACCAATTTCATTACGATCGATGTGTGAGGTTGGGTTGCATTTTTATTGCAATTCAGCTACCTGCATCTCCTGGGGCCCTGGGGTTCACTCAGGCACGAGGGGGCTGTAAATCTACAGGTTAGTGTGGATTGTATCAACCGGTGTTTGCTGGAGTGTGTGAAGCAGAAATGCTGGGAGCGTCCAGTTTGTTGGCAACTTGGGCCTGAAAGGATCTTTTTTGCATTCCCAGCTGTTGTGAACCTGGCCTTGCCAGGCCTCATGCTCCCCAAGCCGATGCGCTGCCAGAGAGTTCCTTGGCGACTAGTCATTTCGATTGTGGTGCTAGCTGCTCCCTGCATGGGTTGATCAGAGTCTTTCAATGGCTGGTTGGCCGTTTTGTTCACGGACTATTTTCAGTTGGCGCAGTTTTGTAGTCGAAACTTTGGACACCTGGGATGCTGATACAAACCACGTACTGGTTGCAAAAAAGAACTGCTCAAAAGCTGACTGGTTTGCTGGGTCTGGTCGGTTTGCTCATGTTTGAAGGTCTGGTCAATCCAAGAATGGAGTATCTCCAAATCCACCAAAACGATCAGACAGTGCCTGGTGGGATTTCTTGCAGAATTCAGCTGGTGCCACCTTCGCCATTTCACATTGTGTCAAGTGTATCATTGTTTTTTTTGGCTGAGTGATGAAGCAGAGAGGATCCGATCCGATGATGAGCAATGCAGAACAAGTGTATAGTATATACAACTAAACTTATTTTTCTGAACAGAACCCTTTTTCTTCCAGACATTTTGCACCTGGGAAGGCAATACTAAAAATGATCACATCTTGTCAAAACAATACCATGTCATGTCATTCATGTCATGTTACGTCATACCACGCTCCACCCATAGTCTTGCTAAGTCGATCTAAGTGGCATATTGGCTGGTCACGGCTTGTGCCATGGCCCTGGCGCGCTGTTTGTTCCGTGGCCCTGCCATGGCCGATACAGCCGTCCGGTGGCTATCCACCTCTGCCGGCACCGGGGTGGTGGTGGGCTTCGGGCGTCAGGGGTGGCCATTGGTGCGGCTCGGGGAGCAGCAGCTGGGTCCCGTGGACCCTGGAGATGTCGTGGTGATGCGCGGCCAGACTTTGAGATTGGACCAGCAGGAGGGGCAGTGGCGGATTTTGGAGGTCTTGGAAGGGCCAAGGAAGAAGAAATGTGTCCATCCCACCCGGGTGGCTGGCTTGTGTAAGAGCTGCCCTAGGCGTAAGGGGAAGCAGATTCGATGAAACTCGTGAGCGGGCAAGTGGCCGCTGCCGGAGTTTGAGATAGCCTATTTTGAATTTGGAGAATCCAATGGATTAAGCGGCGCCTGATTTGAGACATTCCCAATTCAGATGTCTCTTGAGCTTTTCGCGAGTGAAACCTCAAGGCAAAGCCAAAGTAGTTTTGACAGGTTTGAATCGCCACATAGAAAAGAAGTATCCTTAGTGATGTAGGGTCTGCAATTTAGAGAATCACTGCAGCTGAGCGGTTTTCTTCCACGTATTTCAGTGACATTATGAGCCTAGAATTGATTTACATATTTACGTATTTTACGTGGCCTTCCTGGATTCACATTCTTGTTTCGC